AGTGGAAGACTTGTGATTGAATAGGCTCCAGACTCTTACAGTTCAGGCACATCTCAATTAGAGACCTTGAAATAAGGCTCAGGAAGCAATACTCTTTTGTGAAAATGTTTACTGCACAATACAAATATTCATCTAATGCTTTAGATTATAGTAAACTAAGCAATTGTACTATTTATAACATAGAAATATGTAAATAGAATACTGAGGTCAAAGGTGCTGACACTTTATAAGAAAACAAATGGTAGCTGTAATCCAGAGACAGCAGGGGGTACCAGAGGAAGGAAATCATCTACCTGTTATAAAAAGAATAAATGAAAAGTACGTGCTTTTTTTTCCAGAAAAGAAAGGAAAATTAAAGTGGATGCCCAAATCCTAGCTCTTCCTCTGGGACCTTGTAGCTCCTGCACTGTGGAATGAAGGTTGATTCCTTGCAATCCCAGCAGGAAGTTTCTGTCCACTTGGGAGTCTCAACCTCCATGGATGAGGCACTGCAGGAGGACACAGGGCATCAGAAGAAAACTCAGCATGCTATGTGTTCTTGGTCCACTGGTGTGAGAGGTGAGAAAGTCTTTCAGATCTGAACAAAGAACACAAAAAAGTACACTACTGCAGGCTTGGCTGTAAGGAATGAGATAGAATTTTTGTATCATTCTCAAAAAGGCTCTTTTGCTTTGTCCTTACTGGACTCTGCAGCTCAGCTCTTTACAGGACTGGTAGGTGGGAGGCTGGGGTCTGAGCGAGTGCAATGCATCCATGTGAGGGGATTCCACAGAGCAGCACATGCAGCAGGAAGGAGCCCTCTTGGAGCCCAGCTCAGGGAAGCTGTGCCTTCCTCTCTTCCTTTACATTTAATATTCCTTTCGGGAATTTAGTGATAAGAATGTTTACCTGGCATGCATGAGGCTCAGGGTTCAACCCCCCAGAGCTGCAATAGCAAAAGAAATTCTTTCTCTGCAGCCAAAGACAACTGGATTTTTGTGGAATATGAAGAGCAGGAGAATGGCTACATTGTTTTTAAGGGCCAAGAAAGAAACCTCAGCCTTACTTATTTAGCTGGTGAGCAGACCAAGGTGGCCTTTTGGAGAGCACTCTGTCCATGGGCATTTGGCAATCAGGACAAATAGATCTGATTTAAAACAGTACAGTAAAATAGAATAGCTTGTAGCCAACTGTTGCAAAGATGGTCCAACTCTTCTCCCCAGATTAGTGTTAACATTTATTTGACTCCAGACAGCTTATTAAAGAGGAGGAAGCAGCCACCCACAAATGTATGACCATTCACTGGAGCATTTTAGGATTCCTGGGTCTAACCCTCACATTGAGACATGCTGCTACTCCATCAGTAAAAAATAAACTTGAGTATGTTCCCCATTCAGCAGTGGAGACTTGATTTGTCTATATCTTCTTTTTCACATATGTGCAAAGCTAGTAAATGTGACAAAGATAACTTCTACATCTAAAGTCTAAAAAGGTTCTTTCCATAAATATATAATGAAAGTCCAGGTCATAGAAATATGTCATCCATCAGTAGCAGAGTGTACTTTTACTGTGATAGTTCACCTGTTGGCATGTTTCACCCACCTCCATAATGACCAGGTCACAGGAGCCATGTCTGAATGCTTAGTCCCTGTCCCTCAGCCCTACCCTACATGGCTCCTCATCTGCAGGCCTCACTCATCTGAGTGCTAAGTCCCCAAGTCTGGCTCTCTGCATGCCCTGGACCCCATCCTAGAGCAGCTGAACAGGAACCTCTAAGCTGGTGGGACCCAACAAGGATCTTGATTAAAGTTCTCAATGTTAATGATTATATGAAAGAGCCAACCCTGCAGGCATGTTGCCAATTCCATTAATCTTTCTCACAATGAGTCCAGGTCTGGATGTTGGATCAGCTGGCAGAGAAGCAGGCAGATGAGGCAGGGCCCAACTACAGGAAGATTCTCCCCACACAGGCCTGCCTAGTCCTGCATTTTTCCTAGAGAGCACAAAACAATGAAAATTAACAAATTAGGATGCAGACAAATAGTGAAGGGACATTGCACATCTGTTGGTAGGTAAGCTGCAGTGGGATTGGTCCAGAAGCCAACTCCTTGTGGAACCAACACCAGGCACACTCCAAACCTGAGTGCCATTTCCCTTATCACCCCACCTTGGGAGAGGCTTGTTCCAGAGTAACAAAATCCCAAAATGAGGACCCTAACATCTGGGACAGGTGAGGCTCCAGAGAAGCTGATACTGACAGGTAATCACACCTGACAAGAAGCTATTCAGAAGAAAAACGGGCCAATACTACTGGCCAGTGTTGACATCCCTTGGGTGGCCTGTTTGGTAGTTGCTTTCTGTATTTAAACCCTAAGTCTACTATTTTATTATCTTTGTGAACTTGATTATATAGAGTCAGCCTTTCAAACAAGGGTCCCCAAACTGGAAACATGAGCACAATGGGGCAAGCCTCCCAAGGATCCTAAGCTCAGCTCAAGAGCTGAAAATGAAAATAATATTTATTTCAAAAATATGCTTTCTTGATATTTGCTGTATTTGTTAAAAGATAAAAAAAAAATCAATGACTTTATGCCCCACCACTATTTTGTATTGCACAAGAAAGGAAACTCTGCTACTGATAACTTATTACTGTGACCTGGGGTATCACATATTTATCAAAAGGTTCTTCTTACTTTTGACATAGCAGAGATCTTTGTCATGTCTATTAGTCTTTGCATATCATGAAAAGGTAGACTTAAATGAATCAAGTTTGTGTATGCTCAGCATAGCAACTGTGTCTCCACCACTGAATGGGGAGCATGCTTAAATTATTGTTTTACTGATGGAATTTTTTGGAGACCACTGTGGATGAGGGTAGCATTTCTCAATGTGAGGCCCAGATCCAGAATTCCTGATATATTCCAATTTGTAGTCACCCCTGGATGTTCCTGGGAGACAGATGGTTCCTCTTTTGGCCTTGTGCCCAGACAAGCTTTCCCACTGAAACCACATCTATCATGGGGGATGTCCCAGGAGGACTGGACATAGGTTACGTGTACACAGACTCAGAACTGGTTGGAACAGACCTTTATAAGATCCATTCTAGTGCATCCTACAGGCCCCTCGACTGGATCTGGCATGTTTGCCTATTTATTGTTGGTTGCTTTCCTGCCAGAACTGGGTTTGTAGTTTTAAGGTAAAGCTTGACATGGCCCCATTTCATATTCACAATACATGCCTTTCTCGAATTTCTACTTCACAGTCGTTACAAAGATTCTAAATTTTAGAGAATTAAGTTGGTTTTTTTTTTCCCCTTCCTCTTTTTAACTGTTTTTGCCACTGCGGATAGAATAACATCAACCATGCAGGGTATACTACCACTGAACTACAGTGCAAACTTAAGAGTATTCAATTGGTTCTTTTGGTGGTGGTGGTGCTAGACCCAGGGCCTGGCAGATGCCAGTCAGATTTTCTACCACTGAGCTATACCACAAGCCCTTAAATTAGTTCTTGATGTTAATGGAAATTTATTCTTGATTCTTTGGGGTCACAGGTAGAAAGAAGCATGGTGTCACACACCTGTTATCCTAGCACTCTGGAGGCAGAGGAGGATTATGAGTTTAGGGTCAGCCTGGGCTACATCTTGAGACCCTGTTTCAAACAGCAACAACAAAAGGAGGAGAAGAAGAAGGAAAGGAAGAGGCAGAAAAAGAGAAGGAGAAGGAGGAGTAAAGAGAAAAGAAGGGTTAAAAAAGAAAGAGCAAGTTATCCTCTTGCTCTAATGAGGAGACTTGAGCTGGCTAAAAGCCTAAACAAAGATCCCTGCTAGCTGGAAGCTTTTCATTCTTGGGCTTGGAGAACACCAGTCAGAGCAAGAAGGGCCCCTGGAGACTTCTTGGCTTGAGGGCTCCCCAGAGTGTTGTGGGAGGTAATTTTGTAGCATGTCATTCACATGTCATCCCTCCCAGCCATAGAAGTCCTTTCAACGTATTATAATTATACAGTAAACAGTTTTTTGTTCTACTTTCCATATACTCTTTAAAACCATCATAATACCCTATCAAAGTGTTTAAAACTTTTTACCTAGTCCCTATAGGCTGGATTTAAAACATGGGTAAATTGTCAATATTCCAAAAAGTACCATCAAAAATATCTTAATTCTTTTCATATTGAGAACAACTGTTGAACTGTTTACTATCTATAGGAGTTAACCTTTCTGAGCCTGAGCTTTCTTGCACTAAAAGGTATAATATCTGCTTCAGAGGCCATCATGAGACTTAGATGGGACATATGGGTACAACAGGTGTAAAGTGCCTGAAATACCATGACAGCTAACAAATGGCAGTCAGCACCACCATTATGGGCCACCCTTACACACAGCACCACCACCACAACCACCACCACCACAAGAGCAGTTGTCACCATTGTAACTTGCCCTGAAGCAGGATCAGTGGGTCAAAGAGCAGCTATGAAAGAGGACTACACAATTTCATCCAGCTTTGACAATAAGAAGCCACATTTTCAGAAGCCATTGTCACTGTCATTGGCAAACAGTCTCTTCTCTGGATGTTTCCAAGGATGTGAAATAGTAATCAGATATCTTGGAACCCAGTACCTGCCCTATTGGCCTTGCATAGGAGGCTGGGAATGACCTCAGTTAGCTCCTTTCCCACGCTGCCACTTAGGAAGGGAGCAACTGCAGGAGAGAACTGACCTCACCTGTGAGACATCAGATTTGCTCCACCTGCAAATCTAATGCAGGATCCCCAAAGTTTATGCCCTCAGGTCTCCGGAACTTAGGAGGAGCAGCTAGTGAACTGGAGACATGGCCCAGCAAATGGAGGACCCATAGAAGAGTGTTTTGGGGGAAAGGTGTTCTGAATAAGGGGGAAGAGGTGAACAAATTAGGATAGACAGGATAGATTTTCCTTTATGGCACCATGCAGAGCTAGGTGATGAGAAGGGAAGGCTTTAGCCAGGTTGATGGCTGTGTCTTCTTCATGATTAACAGAATCATTGCACTACCCAGAACAGAAGGTGTGGGAAGTTGAGTTAGGAGCGAAGTATTCTGTGTGCTCCTGCACCAGTGGACCCACCAAGAGTGAGAAGGCAGGGGCAGGGAAATGGAGCTGAAGGGCTTCCCACTGCACTGGTGCGGCCCTCTCCACGGTCTTGGTAGGGCTGCCTGAGGACTAGGAGGTGGTAAGCTGGGTCGAAAGAGTGTGAAACCATTAACTGTGCCCTTCCACAGGAGAGGTAGTCCACTGAAGTAGAGGGACGGTCAGAAAAGTGGCTCAGGAGCTCTGGCTTCATGGAGTGTTCCCTGAACACACTGCATAGCCAAACCACCCAGGGATGACAGTCAGAGGAGATTTGGGTTGAAGGGTGGTGGCTTCACTGATTGTCCACGACTGCTAGTCCTGGCCAGCCCTGCACAGAAGAGGGGAAGCTCGGATTTGGGGAGGAGAGCAGGATACTGAAGTGAAGTGCCGCCTGCATTTTTGGAGCCCAACCCTTAAAGGGTTCCTGCTCCAGTGCTTTCCTGGGTTCACAGCTGAGGGGGACAGTGTTGTCTAGGGTATGGATATGCTAGTGATGGTCTCAGCTAACTCCCAGGTTTAACTCTGTTTTGTCAGCTCCTGAAACTCCACTCACTGCAAAGAATGCATAAGGGCACTGTTTGGAAATCATGGATGTGATAAAAGTTTTAAAACTTTTTTGTAATAACTCACGACTTCCTTGGATTGATATAGTTTGCTCTTTTCGATGTTGCCTGGCAAAGGAAGATGCTCTGGTGGATAAGGGCGCACAAGGAAGCGCAATAAAGGCGCAATTGCACGCGTGTGTGAGCCAAGAGCAGAAGTCGCGGGGCCTCTTACCACAGCGGCCAAGCTGGCGAGGGAGGCAGTGCAGTGCAGCGAAGACGCACCGGCAGAGGCGGCAGCCGTGCAAGGTCCAGGCTCCGTGACCCAGGGCGCCGCAGTCGCTGAGGAGGCGGGGACCTGGCGTTAGTGCGGTGGTCCCGCGCCGCCCTCATCCCCACTCTCCCGCGGCTCCCACCCCCCCCAGCACCCCCCCACCCCCACCCCCACCCTTGCCGCGCGGCCCCGGTGCCCACCTGCGCCGCTGGTCGTGCTCGCAGTAGCGGCCGGTGAAGTGGGCGGGGCACACGCAGAAGCTGCCTAGCACGCAGGTGCCGCCGTTCCTACAGCAGCGCGGTCTCGCGGGCGCACCTGTGGGGGTCATCCGGACATCAGTCCCCTACTGAGAGTGTTTGCTAGGGTAAGCCTTGTTGGTAATTTAGGGATTAAAAGCAAACTACCAGGAATGCGGGCGTGGTAGGGGAGAGCCCCACGGCTCCCTGCAAATTGGATTTTCTCAATCCTTTTCGTTCGCATATTGAAGTCAGGCTGTGCCTTCAGAGGACAGTGATTAAAGACAGGCCTCCCAGGCGGACCACCCAGGGTTGTGAAGACGCCAAACCCACCGCCTGGAGGACTCATGGGGAGAGGAGGTTGGAGCCTGAGTGTCTGCTATTAGCCAAGCCAGGGTCCGCTATTATCTTCGTTTGGGACATTTGTTTTAAATACATTTAAGTCACATTCTAAGGACCTGCAGGAAAACTGTCATTGGATAGCAAATACAACGTTTTTGCTAATAAAATAGTGAAATTTGTAAGAGCGAACACTTCACTAGGAAATATTTTTACTTCCTTAACAATTCATGCTATGAAGACGACCAGATGTTCTTTTGAGTTTCTCATTTTAGCTCTAAATTTATCCCACTTTGTTTTTCCAGATCCTATATTCAACAGAGCACTGATCAGGATCACCGCAAAGATTTCTTGGGCAGCGCTAAACTCACGCTCTTCCAAGGCCTTGAAATTGGGAGGAGAATCCTGAGGCCACCAACCCTCCTGCGTTCCATGCTCTTTCCTGAAATCACTCAGGGTCCAGCTGAGTGTGGTCTGCTGCAGGTTTGGAGCTGTAATATTGCTGACTTCTTCTTTATCACCTTTGTGTTTCTCTCTTTGATAACCTTTCCAAAACATTAAAAATATGAGACTAATAATGACTGAGAAAAAGGTATCTTCTGCAATTAAAACTAAGACTAGGAGAAAATGCTTCTTACTGTTTCCCAAATGGATGATCTGTAATGCCAAACTGATCATAAACGGAAGCCTAGAATATTTAAGGAAAATTATTGAAGTTTGAAATACAAAAAGTATATAAGCAGAAATTCGCACATATAAAAATGTCTTGCAATCATTACACACAAATACATTAAACATTTAACACAATAAAATGCAATAATTTTGTAACTTTTGAATTTTGATCAATGCTGTCCTCTGTTAGAAGGATGTTGAGATGGAAAATGGGTACTTCCCTTTGATGAGAAACTGCAGTGGCACATGCATTGCGTTATATCCTAAGAACCTTAACTCCCATCTTAGCTCTAAGTGGATGACTTCTGTCCTTACCTGACATAATGGCTCCAGGTCATTTTCCTACTGACACCTCCAGTTCTCTATCCATACACTGAAGATCAGTTTCCTAGGAAGTTGAGTCTGAAAAGTTTTTGCATTGGCAATATTTATCTTTACTCCAGGCATTGATGGGAGAAACTGGAACAGGACATAGAATGGATGCGGTTAGGAGACAGACATTCTCTTCCCTCTGCCTGGCCCAAAGACAGAGCGCTGAGATGAGACCTTCAAGTACTGCTGTTGAAGCTCATATGGGGAGGGCCTGCTGTGACCTGGAGGAGACTGAAGGACTGTTCCTCAACAAATCCTGGCTGGGGAGGGGGTGGGGCACAGGGTGATTCCCTCCCCAGCAGTATTTACAGTGCTGATAGCCTCAGGGGTGGCCAATCCCTGAGGTAAAACATTGATGACCAAGAGGACAAGCCTCACTGAAAAACTAACAAAATTAAAAGATTTAAACCCCAACATAAGCATTGAAGATTTGCCCATCTGGGAAAGGGAGTTGGGTGGTGGAGACTGGCAGCTTGGGGAGAGGATTTTCTGTCACTTGTGTTGGCTGCTGTCTGGGAAACTTAAACAATAGAAATTTATTTTCTCACAGTGTGAAGACTGGAAGTCCAAGATCAACATGTTGGAAGATTTGGTTTCTTCTGAGGTCTCCCTCATTGGCGTATAAATGGCTGTCCTCCCTCTGTATTCTGTAAGGTAGAAAGAGTCTAAATGTCAGTGTCTGTTAGTAGATGAGTAAACAAAACATGGCATATACATACAATGAGATTTTTTCAATTACACAAAATTCTGATACATGTTATAATGTGGATGAACCTAAAAACATTATGATAACGTGAAATAAGCCAGGTTCAAAAGGACAAATATGGGGTTGGGGTGTAATTAGTGGTAGAATGCTCATTTGGTATGTGAGCCCCTGGGTTCATTTTTTAGCACCCCTCCAAAAAAAGAAGGAAGGGAGGGAAAGAGAAAGAAGGAAACGTGTTATGATTTCACTCAGATAAAATATTGTAGAAAAGGAAAATTCAGAGACAGAAAGTAGCCCAGCCAAATGACCTAGGAGGTTAGAGGGCAGCCATTTTTTATTCCTCTATAGATCCCAAGGAGCAGCCTGTGTGTGGACAACCAATGCTTTAAAGTCATTCTCAGAGAGGTCCTTAACACCTGATTTGTTGCAGAGCATTTTCTTCAGGATTTTTTTTTTTTTTTAATGCTCTGAAAATGTGACAAAAGCATGCATTTTATGAGTTAGAACCTTTCACTGGAGGCTGGATGGGTGGCTCCAGCCTTATCTGTTTAGAAGTGATAACAAGACAGAGGACTGTCTGCCTTCCTCCCCCCACCCCAGCTGTTGCCAGGCAACTCCTGCCTGCTGGGCCTTTTTGGTGGCAAACATGGCAGTACCTCTGCAGTGAAATGCAAAGTTCTCTTTATAAGACTTTAGAGTAGGGTAAATGAGACACTTAGGACCACCAAAGGCCTGTTGGAGAGCTAGTGACAGTATGGTGAAAACCAGTTTATCAGCAGCTTTATCACCCCAGGCCCTCAGCCCTGACACTCCTCAGCTGACTAGATCTTAACCAAACAGCCAGAGAAGGGACATCCCATGACTGCTTCTTGCCTTTCAATCCTGTCATGTCAGCAAGATATTTCTTTCCTTTTTCTACAGTTTCCGTTAATAAAGTACAGACTTGTAAAACCTCAGCTAAGAAGCTTTGAGAACAGTCCCTTGCACCACCACCACAAAGACAAAAGCCTTTATTTGACGTATGAAATATCGTAGTGTTTGGGACTTAATTTTTACAATGCCAAGAAGAGTGGGAGGAATTAAGATTGGCAAAGATGAATGCTTACTTGGTGAACATGAGTTAACCAATCAGAAAATTCTCTCAGCTTTTGCATATGTTTGGAAATGTCCACAATGAAAAGTTTAAGAAGCTATGGGGGGTATTAGATTTTAGATAGTATTTTAAAACTGTAATAGTGTCAGAAAGCTTTGATTCCTATAGCATTCTGTGAAATGAACAGTTTTAAAGTCTACAAAGAAATATAATCACTTATCTTATATATGGTTTTATTTTAATATAAAACCCTTTTAGATCATATAGTAGTTTACATTAAAGTCAAAGTGTACTTTTTATATGTAATTAAATTGTAAAACAACCAGTAATAACCATTAAATGTGAATACTTTTTATATGTAATTATGTAATTAACCAGTCATATCCATTAAGTATAAAAGCACAGTTTTCATGACTCCAATTGCAGCCGTCTGTGGATGTCCTGAGGTGCCGTTCTTTGTCAGATCTGCCCTATTATATCTGCTGGTCTCATCCTGGTCTTGGAAGCTTACGGAGCCTTTCACAGGGAAGCCCCATGCCAGTGGAGCTCACCAATTCCCTAGTGGTTTAACAGCCTCTTTATTAAATCTCACATTTAAAGGTGTAAGAAATCAAATCAATATTCAAAGACTTTCAACTTTGAAGGAGGCGTGCTATTTTTAGAAATCAGTTTTCATATTAAAACCACAGAACAATTGCCATGTTAGAGTTGCAAGGTGGTCTCTTTTAGTGGTGATGAAAGGGCCTCACTCCCTAGTTTAGAGCCTTGGAAAACTGAGCCTTAGAAAGTGCCCACCCCGCCGCCCTGCCCCACCTCCCAAGTCTCAGCTGGCTCTGTGGACTTCTTATAATATCTGTGCGTTTCATGTTTTTCAAAGATCAGACTGCTAAGGGACTTGACCACTCAAAAGTTTTCGTTTCCTCACCTTTTTTTTTTTTTTTTTTGTGGGGTAAGAATGGGGCTTCCCCCACAGGGGTGCCATAGTAAATGTGTAGAACTACCACTATGCTGGGGACAGCACAAAGGCTGCATCTGAAGAAATAAGGTTGCACCTCAGAAAGCAGGGCTGAAATGTCCCCTTTGCCTTCATGCTTAACATTTATGATGTCTGGAACACAGGCCAAGTCCCATACAGCAGCATCCCTCTCCAGCTGGGCCCTCTCATCATCTCCATCATCTCCCCATACAAGAGTAGGCAACAGAAAATCTGTACTTTCCTATGAAAGCTTTTTTGTTTATGTTGGGGTTTTAATCTTTTAATCTTTAGTTTGTTTTTCAGTGAGGCTTGTCCTCCTGGTAATCAGTGTTTTACATCAGGGATTGTCCACCCCTGATGAGGTAGGCTAGGTTAGGGATAGTCTGGGACTGCTCCCCCTCTTGACTCAAGAGCTCCTCCTCTCCTTCCCCTAACCTTCAGGTTAGAGGAGCTAGATGATGACCTATTGTCTCCCCACCTCCAAATTCAAGATGGTATAACAACGACCTTCCAAAAGACCCCAGCCCTTCTTCCCTTCCCTCACTTGGCAGAATAGATGACTCCCCTTCCTTCAATAAAGCTATTCTCCCTCACCCCATTCATGTGTTTTGCTTGGATTCTTCCATTTGGAACACAAGGACCAAGATCTTTGGGAAATACCATTTGCCAATAACATAAATAACACAAAAAGCCCTGCAGATTTACTTCCATGAAACATGGTCATTAAAAAAGTGAAAAGCATAAATCCCCTGAAGAGAGAGAGTGACTTGGTTTTCCCGGAGCTGTGGAGGAAGCAGGCAATAGTGTACTGAAGAGCAGGTGGGGTACAGGGGCCCAGCTAGGAGTGCCAGCTGGGAAGCTGGCTATCTTGGGTGGCTGGTGACAAAACAAACACGGGGAGTGGGAACCACTCCCTCAATACAGTATCCTCAGTACAGAGGCTCAGGTGCACCTGTACCTCAAGTCAGGTTTATCTTCCCACCGATCAGAGCCTGATTAAAGAAGGGGCCCTTCCCACAGGGGCTTCCATTTCCATAGGAGAAACAGTCAAAAAGTCAACAGTTGATCCTGTTGTGTCTGAGCATTTTGATGAGGGGTGAGGGGGGTGGTGTGGGAGGATATTTGGGACCTGGTGTGGTGGGTGGGGTGGTAGGGGAGTGGAGTCCAACTTGAAGTGTTGAAACAGGAGACTGACCGTAGGTAATAGGGCTCCTTCCCATCTCCCCTTGCTTCTCCTCCCATTCTCTGTCCAACCACCATCTCCACCTTCCTGTTCCCCTTTTTTCCCCTTTTACTCTCTCCCCTCCTCATCAGAGCACTTCATTCACTTAGGATTAAATTCAGATTTAGAACATATTAACACAGGATTTTAAGTCCTAGTGTATGTGAGGGTCTCTCATGCTCCCAAACCTAGGACAGACCTCTGGCTTCCCATAGGCTAGGAGAGAGAGGGTGAAAGGCCAAAGTCTTCATCTTTTTAGAACTTTCTATCAGAAGTGAGTCACAGTCCCACACTTAGGGCCATGATACACCAGGAGAGTGCTTGGGCCCATGTTAGAGACTGACTGCCATACACAGGTTGAAAGTGTTTGCTTTGCCACATTTGCTATTGTGTGTTTCTGCTTTTACTGAAGAAGATTAACATATATCTACATATATCCCCCCAAATATTTAAATATTTAGGATGTCTGAAAAGTATGACCATTTTCCTATATAATGTGTACAATTATTCTGAGCTGAACTAATAATAATTTTCTAAGGTCCTGAGAGATCCAGGGCTGGTTCCATTTGAGATAGGGTGCATTTTATCTCAGAATCTCAAGCTGCAAGTACTGTGACTACCTGAGTTCATATCTCAATCCTTTTTATTGAGTGTTTTCAATTTTTAACTTCTAAATTTATAAATCGATTATACTCTCCGTTAATTCCACTTATCAAAGGTGACTGTTTTGTTTCTGTTTTTTGCAGTGTTGGGTATTGAACCCAGATCATCACACATGCTAGGCAAGTGCTGTACCATTGAACTACAGCCCTTATCAAAGATAATGGATTCTAAATTTTTGATAGGAACTGGGGGGATAACTTAGTGGTACAGCTCGTGCACAGCATATGCCAAGGCCCGGAGTTCAATTCCCTACACCAAAAGACAAACAAAAATAGATGATAAAATAAAACTTGATAAAGCAAAAGT